GACTTTGCGTAATTCAGCAACACATTTATTTCGGTAACTGTTTAAACGAGACCGATTTTCAGAAGTTTTTGATTTTCGATAAGTTTTCAACTTTAGCAGATGTATTATAGAGACATTCAACCATGGAGTTTTATTTTTCAGGACTGGAACTTTACAAGTTGAAATATATTTTTCCTGTATTGTCTCCAACTTATCATAAAAATTAGACAAAATGTGATTTGGATTTAACAGAGAAATACCCTCATTCCAGTTAGTTTTCTCAATCTGAGCATGAAACATGGGGAACTTTGATTTCTGAATCCTTTTAATGAAATTATGCACATGACCTGTAGGTTTCTTAAGGTTTTTACTAATGACATAAATAAGTGAATGATCCCAGATTGAAGTATTTATAACTCCAGATATGCCTTATTATATGGAGGATCGATTTGTGGAAATAAGATCAAAATGGAATTACATGTCTTGTCAAATCTTGTTGGTACTTTAATGAACTGTTGAAGCCCTAAGTTTATAGACATTGCTTTCAGGCCTTTGGAAGTTTTATCAGCCCAATTCATATTGATATCACCAAGAATCACAAACTCTTTTGATTTTATGCCTTTTCTTGGTTCTGATTGGTTGAAATGGACTAACCCTAACCCTCTGCAGTGAATCCAGTCTGTCTGGTTTAAGTGAACCCAACCTAAAGTTAACTGAAGTTGTTTTTGTCTTGCAGGCTTCAAAGATCCTGACTTCCTGTGCTTCAGGCATCATTCTCTGTTGAAGACGATCCGCTTCATCCTCAGAACCAACAACAAGACAGAGAAAACTTTGATCCAGTCTTTTTCATTTGAATTGGTGTTCAAACTGGAATTCTGCCTTAAGGAAATGTTCAACTACAGCCCAGAACTGGACCGACTCCTGCCGACGTGTGTTCTGTCCGATGATTGCACCATCGCTCAGACGCCATGATGTAAAAACTCTGGTTATGACTCAGCKGTTTTTCATTTTTCATTTATAATATCATGACTTTATGAAAGTTTTTGAGCACACTGGTCTCTTCCTCTGCCACCAAAATCATCTTCTTCGGTCCGATTTTTGTTTGTGGATGGTTCAGAACCAAGTTTTGGTTTAATGCCAGATCACACTGCCAAATGTTCTGATCGGATCCAACAGTTTGCCTCAGAACAACCCCAACAAACATCCAGAGGAGAGGGATGAGCACAGGCCTCTACCTGAGGGGGCGGGGCTTCCAAATGGATCAGGTGGAACAGTCTGCAGATCTCCAGGATGGGACTGGAAGAGGTTCTGGGGCCCCAGATCACTTTTAAACAAATAAAAACAGGAAGTCTCCAAATCTGGTCAAATTTAAATTAAACTTATTCACAACTTTTATCAGCAACATTTAAGAATTGCTGCAAACATTTTTCCACATCTTTAAATTCACTTTCTTTACTGATTGCCAAAATTCTACACATTTTGTTTGGTTTTGATCAACATTTTACAATTTAAGCATAAGAAAGAATTTTAAAACTTCTAATGTAAAAAAAGTATATATTTATGGCATTATAATAATCTCAGAGATTAACGTCAACTTTAGATGTTCTGGGGTCCCTGGTGGCTGTTTGATGACCMGCTCTTCGTCAGATTGTACAAAAACTCGTCATCAGTTGCTGCTTTTAGGATATCAGCTTCTCTTTGATCACTTAGAGAAAAATCTACACTTGATGGTTGAAGAGACTGTCCACTGGTCACTTCCTGAAACCAACGTTTAATTTTCTTACAGGATGTACACTGTGTCATCAAAATAAAAGCACACTAATAAAGTTCAATCTCAGTTTCAACAGGCAAGACGTTTAATGCATTTAAGAATTTAGAAATTTATTCAAACAAAAGTAAAATTTAATCATCCAAGGAATATTTCTCAGACCTTCTTGATCCCACCGAAGTCTTCCATGACTAGAGCTGAGGTTTCTGAGGTAGTTCATGAGCTCCATGGTGGCAGGGCTTCAGGAGTGGACGAGATCCACCCTGATTTCCTCAAGGCTCTGTAACATTGCGTGGACATTAGTGGATTGGCAGACTGGGGTGATGGTTCCCCTCTTCAGAAAGGAGGACCTGAGGGTCTGTTCCAGTTACAGGGACATCACTCTCCTTAGCCTCCAGGTAAGGTCTTTCCAGGGGAGAGTCCAGAAGAGAGTCTGATCGATGGTCATATCTCAGATTCTGGAAGAACAATGGGTTCTGTCCTGGCCGTGGATCACTGGACTAGCTCTTTAAATGGAAATGGTAAATGGACTGAACTTATATAGTGCTTTATCAAGTCCCTCCAGTCCCTAAAACACTTTACACTTCAGACATTCACCCACTGATGATGGTAAGCTTCAGCCACAGCTGCCCTGGGCACACCAACAGAGACTGCCATGCACCAACGCCACCGGACCCTCCGACCACCATCAGTAGGCAAGAGGGTGAAGTGTCTTGCCCAAAGACACAACAACTGAGATGGCTGGAACGGGGGATCGAACTGGTGACCTTCTGGTTCCAGGATGACTCCCCTAACCACTCTACCACAGCCGCCCTGGATTACCCTCACTAGGATCTTCAAGGGGTCATGGGAGTTTGCTAATCCAGTCWACAAGTGTTTTGTGGACATGGAGAAGACTTTGGACAGTGTTCCTCGAGCTGCACTGTGTGGGTTACTTGGTGTTTATGGGATTGTGGGTCAAAGTTTGCTTCACAATGCTGATATTAAGTCGGACCCCTTAAGGGTGGGAGTGGAAGTCCAGTTGTGTTGGATTCTGTTTAAAACTTTTATGGACAGGGAGTCCGGTTCTGTGGCCCTGGGATTCTATCTCTGTTATTTGCAGATGATGTGGTCCTGTTGGCCTGGGTTGGTTTCTGTCTCAAGTGTAGAATTTCAGGTATCTCTGTGTTTTGTTCACAGTGAGAAAAGAACACAGTGTCAGACCCACAGACGGATCAGTGCAGTGTTCTGGACTCTGGACTCTGGACTCTGGACCGACCTGTTGAGGTTCAGAGGAAGCTGAGCTCTCTGTTAATCAGTCGGTTTATGTTTCTATGCTCACCTATGATCTAAACTCTGAGTAGTGACCACATGAAACTCACAGAGGAACTCAGGATGTGGGGTGGTACCCTTAAAATCTAAGTCCCGCCTCCAGACTCTTTCAACCAGTGAAGGCTGTCAGTCAGGGTAATGATACTTTTTATGGACTAAAAATGTGTTACAAGTCAGAATTTTGAGCATGAGATAATTTTTGTTTAAGCTGTGGTATTAAAGGCAGAAGGGGATGTGCATTTCTGTAAGAAATTCTACTTACTGAAGGTTCTGGAACAAAGMGATATTTATAATTATTCCTGTTGTTACACCTGATGACAGTAAAGTTCTTATCAAACCTACTGTAACAAAGTTTTGAGTATAAAATTGTACTGAGCTTTTCTCATGTTTTCCTAACTACAGGAACTGTTTGAAATGGGTCTGTTAARAAAACCTGACAGAAAACAACAAAAACGGAAACCTTCAACCTATCATAAACCTACTGAAAAAGGTTGCTTTGATTCTGCTTCTGCTCCACAGAGGCGTTTAAAGCTTTTGTTTTGGAGGGGATAAGGCCACTGGTTTTAGTATTTTGATGACACTTTGTATTTTTCTGTGCAGACTTCAGAACTCGGTGGCTGTGTTAAGAACAGGATCATCTGTTGTTGTGGCCTGGTGGTTCCACATCTCTTTACTCATCATTTGCTTCCATCAGTTCGGTTTCACTGGTAGATATCAGATGTACTGTACATACTACTACTGCTTAACTGAATCTTTCTACTTGTCATTTCTGAGTATTTCTTGTGCAGCTGTTGCTTTAGAATCTTATTTTTCTGTTGGAAATGTGCGTCATTGTTCTCTGAGCCAGCACTGCAGTGATTTGCTGTTTGGAGGAGTTTTCTGCTGTCACAACCATCTGAAGAACAGAGACTGTTCTGGAACCTTTCACAGTTCTTCTTGCTTCATGTGTCCAGTCAGAAGTTGTGTGTCATTGGTGCCATTTTTCTTCTTGTGCATTGTGTCACTCACAGTTTGATCCCAAACTGTCAGTTTTAATGTGTGTGTTGGAAAATAAAATGTTGCAGTAAATGTTTGTTTCCTAATGTCTTAATGTATAAAATCAAACATACACCCATGTTCCCTATTGATGGTACAGACTTCCTGGTGATCCAATGATCCCATTGATCTACAGTGCCTGACTCTAGATTACCCACAGTGCTTTAGGATTTGGATTTTAAAAGTAATAAATCACAATTTGAAATGACTAAAATACAGAAGGTCAGCAGCTTCAGGCCATCTTCTCCAATTCGTTTCAAGGTACTAATTGTACATCAAACTTATGAAATACAACAATAAATTGCTGTAACATGGTATTGTAATCTAGTGATGGGCAAATACTCATATTTTCACAACATCTCAGGTGTCAAGGTTGGATTACGTTTGTAAAGAAACATCAGCTTTTAGAACATTTTTTCACTATTCAGTAATTATTACCTTTATTTTACATAAGAATTTTATCAACCAGTATGTTTTAAAGCCTTTTAAATTACCACTGAATAAACAACAACCATGGTGGACTTGAGACCTGTCCAGGTTGTCCCACTTCTCACACTGACTGCTTTTAGGGCACCAGAGACCTAGGATTGAGTAAAAGCTCTTCAAATGGATGGAAAATGTAGAGTTTTGTGTAAATCATTACATTTTCTTGGGGAGGATCCTGGACTGCTTCAGTCTGCAGCTGATCATTGACGTGAAAAGATGTTCTTCATTGGTGTCAGCTGATGCTGGAGGGTATGAGGCAGACTTCTGGTATTTGATTTCAAATAAATTATTTTGTTCATTATTTGAAGTGAACAACCTGGTTTCTAAAGATAAACAACATCCAAAACAAAASTATTTAATTTGGTAAGTGAATGTCTGTAAATTGATGGTGAAATGTAGAAAATTAGACAAAGGGCACCACTTGAAGTCTCTGTCTGTGTTTGTGTATGTGTGAGTGTGTTTACACATTAAGACTTAGTTTTTACAACAAATGTTTTAGTTTATTTAACTAATAACTTAGTTGTACTTCTATCTTCTAACAACAAGTGTGTAAAATGATTCTGAAGTTATCAATCACTATAAACCAACAAAAACATCACCGGARTAAATCAACCACACAGTTTTTTATTAAATATAATTGCTGACATGAGATCTGATCAGRGAACTGCTGCTTCAGTGGAGTTCTTGGTCTGATTGTGAAATCAGAGAATACACAGTTGTAAATACTGTAAACTATAATACAGTAATGATGTGTGTGTATTATTATGTACTAATAACTGTGTAATATATAATAAAACTAAAAACATGATGTCAGCAGTGTGCAGACCACACAAACAGAAGATGTGTTGTAATGTGGGGGGTGGCCAGCAGGGGGCGGCACCGCCCAGCTTCAAACGGAAGTCACGCAAACAACCGAAGAAGAAGAAGTTCGCGCGGGTCTTTCCACTGTTACCGGATGTGATCTTCCGGTGAGTCGTGACTTTTGTTTTGATCAAGTGTTTATTTCTGCTGTAAGGTTTATAAAAGTCCATTCATTTCATCTGTTGAACAAAGTTTTTCTTTTCTTTGTGTTTGAAATCATAAACTTTAAGTTTTCGGTCTGAAGCTCGACTTATTTAAAAATATGACTTTAATTTAAAACACCGTTCAGTTTTTATTTAAGAGTTTTCAGATCAAAGATGATTAAATCTGCTTCATGAGTCCGTGTTTGACTGGTTTATTCTCTGTTCTCAGTTTTAATAAAATCATCTTAGATAAAGTTTACATTTGTTCTGGTCAGGCTCAGGTAACACTTTTAATACTCAGATTTAACGGATTAATGAGAAGTTTATGAATAATGATTAGAAATCATTGAATTAGTTTGATCTAATGTCAGAAGAATAAACAATAAAAACAGAAAATAACAGAATAAGTCAAAGACTGAGATGTAAATATTTGTTGAAAAGGTTAACATGTTTCTGTATGTTTAATGTGATTATCTGTTTGTTTCTGTCTGTTTTTAATTTAATTTCCCCTGTACTTCTTCTAAATGAGTTTTCTGCTTCGTCTTCATGAACGTCTGTTTGAACAGATTTCTCTTCAGGTGAACCTGAACCTAACCCTGATGAACACCTGTAAAGGTTAGCTCCACCCATACCTTACCTGTCTGCTACACAGGATCTGTTGTAACCAYTCCAAACAGCATCACTGCTGTCAGCTCACTTCCTGGTCCGCCTCCATCACAGGCACCATGGATCCCACAGAGAACAGGTACGCTCACCTCCTGCAGCCAATCAGAGAGCTCACAAAGAACTGGGAGATCGACGTGGCGTCGCAGCTGAACGATTACCTGGAGGAGGTAAACTTACAGTCAGGTTTACAAAGAGCGTGGGTCCAAACCTGAACCAATCACCTGTGTCTCTGCAGCTGGATGACATGTGCATCACCTTCGATGGAGGAAAAACCAGACTGAACTTTGCAGAAGCTGCTCTGCTCATCCAAGGTTCCACGTGCATTTACAGCAAGAAGGTGAGTGATGTGTGGAGGGTCACAGTGCTCACCTGACCGCTGCGTGCTCACGTGACCAGCATATGGTCAGGTGAGCGCTGCGTGGTCACGTGACCAGCATATGGTCAGGTGAGCGCTGCGTGGTCACATGACCAGTGTACCTTGTTGTTTCAGGTGGAACTGCTTCACAGCCTTGTGTACCAGACTTTGGAGTACATCAGTGACAGGAACAAGAAGTGAGTTTAATGTTCAGCTTCATGAGTCCCAGCAGAGGGCTGTGCTCACCTGGTTGTTTCAGGGCGGTGCTCACCTGTAGTTTCAGGGTGGTGCTCACCTGGTTGTTCTGTTTGTAGGCGGAGTAAAGAGACAGCGGCAGCTGCAGCTCAGGACGATGATGCAGGAACAACACAGAGCACACAGGACTCTGACAACTTAGCTGTGGTGAGAAGTGAAGTGTGCAGACAGGATGTGATGTGTATCTGCTGCAGTGTTTACACACAGAGCATTGTGGGTAATGTAGACCGTATCTGTTGTGTTTCAGTTCACTCCTCAGGACCTGGAGGCATCAGAAAACTCACAGATGTCTGATTCCAACATGGTAGAACCAGTTTCTGTCAGACAGGTTCAGCAGCAGTGATCAGTATGTCTCAGTGTGTTCTGGTTTCTTTCAGATGGTCCGAGTGATTCCTCTTCCTCCAGAGTCTCTGATTCCTCCAGAAACACACGAAAAGCACAAACTGCCTTTTGTTAGGTCAGTGTCCCCGTCAGCTACAGCCTGATGTCTTACAGATTAACCTAACCTAACTAACCTAACCTAAACTAACCTAACCTAACCTAACTAACCCTAACTAACCTAAACTAACTAACCTAACCATCAGCTACAGCCTGATGTCTTACAGATTAACCTAACCTAACTAACCTAACCTAAACTAACCTAACCTAACCTAACTAACCCTAACTAACCTAAACTAACTAACCTAACCATCAGCTACAGCCTGATGTCTTACAGATTAACCTAACCTAACTAACCTAACCTAAACTAACTAACCTAACCAAACTAACTAACCTAACCATCAGCTACAGCCTGATGTCTTACAGATTAACCTAACCTAACTAACCTAACCTAAACTAACTAACCTAACCAAACTAACTAACCTAACCATCAGCTACAGCCTGATGTCTTACAGATTAACCTAACCTAACTAACCTAAACTAACCTAACCTAAACTAACTAACCTAACCATCAACTACAGCCTGATGTCTTACAGATTAACCTAATCTAAACTAACTAACCTAATCATCAGCTACAGCCTGATGTCTTACAGATTAACCTAACCTAACTAACCTAAACTAAACTAACCTAACCATCAGCTACAGCC